GAGCAACCCAGCAGCACCCCAGCTGCTCTGCCCCAGGCGTCCTGATTTAGCCGCTGCTGAAACTGACCAGCGCTGACTACAGGAAGCCGGAGGCAGAGTTGCTCTGCCCCAGGCTTCCTGGAATCAGCGCTGATCAGTTTCAGCAGCAGCTGACTTGGGGAAGCTTGGGGTTCTTAAGTTGATTCTGTATGTAAGTCAGAACTGGCGGTCAGTTTCAGCAGCGGCTGAATCTGGACGCCAGTTCCGACTTACATACAGATTCAACTTAAGAACAAACCTACAGTCCCTATCTTGTACGTAACCCGGGGGCTGCCTGTATTTATATCCAAATAAGTTAAGTCATGTTGACTGTCCTTACCCATTAACTTTCTAAGTTCTATTAGGAATTATAAGTACTTGACTTTAAATAAAACTGAGGCAAGACTGAGTACATTGCTCATCTGGCAGAACCTGAAAAGTGATGCAAATCTTGGCTTCCTATACATCATTTGGTCTATTGCCATTTCTGGCCTTAAAAAGCAACTTGTAAAAATTGGCAGGACAGCAGGTTTACTTAATTCCAGAGCCACCTCCTTCAAGCTGTTGCAAGATTTTTGCCTTTATTCTACATGTGTGAATTACACCAGAAAAACTGGAGGCTGTTTTTTAAGCAGGCCATATATAGTAAATATATATATTTATGCTCCTGCTAGAAGAGTTTAGAGCTGCTGCAGACAATTTTTCCTTGAACTATAACTTTGGCCCTCTAATAGCTATGGGTAACATAAGTAGGTAGAATTATTCTATCTTCTATAATTTGTCAATCTTTAGGTGTAAGCGGTGGCAATAAATTGTATATGAGGCCAAAGACTGTGCCATATATTAAGGTACTGAGCGTATCAGATTGTCCACAAAAGAAAATGGAAAGCTAATACCAAAGCTATGAAAGCAGCAGCAAAAAAAATCAGAGCCTAGATACATGTTCTATAATTGAAGAACAAATCTAAATTTTAATAACTTTTATTCATCTCCATCTTACATTCATCTTGGTAATACAGGATTTACAACCTTTTTACAAAGCTAAGAGAATAGGATTCTTTTGAACCATGTAATTTTAAAGGATAAAATCATAACCAATCTTTTTACTGCATCATAACATCTCATGGTTATTTCTGCAAAGCTAACACAGGTAGAATGAGAGATGAGGAAGCAGACACTCTAACCTGTTTCTGTATGCATAATCCATTTTTTTAAAAACCTTTTTGAATGATAAACAAGCACATTCCAGAAAGTGCTTAAATAGGAAAGCTTCAGCTGAATTAACTTTACGCTTTGAATTCTCGATCATTATATTTAAATAGTTATCAGAGCAAAATAATACAGAGCTAGCATGCAGCCTATCCAAACACAATCTTTTAAAAGAAAAACCCTGCAATGTGGTTGGTTTTTTAAAAAGAGTGAATTTTGTGAATGGGTGAAAATCCAAGATCTCCTACCACGTAGCTGGGTATGCACAAGGGCTGGGTACTACTATTGTAATATACCTTATTGCAAACAGCTAAGCAAATTTATCAGTTGCAGTGATCACCACAGTTGCTGCATAGAAGCAGAATAATTTATGTGCTGATATACATTCCATAATAGAGAAATGTGCAGAGAATTGAATTTCTTTTCAAAAGTGAAGTTAGTGTATGTAAAAGGTGCTGGAATGCAACTTAAACAATCCACACACAGTAGTGACCAAGCTTCTCCTACCCTCTACCAACATTAAGGCTGTTCAGTTCTAAGCAAGGGGAATCTGTCCCTATGCTATCTTTGATCTCTCTCAGGCTACCAACCATCACAAGGAGTTGTGTAACAGCGATCTTTGTCCTTTCTAGAAATGGATTAAACCTTTCACTTAGTTCAGCTATACAGACATCTGAGTAAAGATTTACTAACAACCAAAACTACATATGAAGAATTGACCTTGACCACTATTATCATCTAGCTCCAGAGCCATTCAGGCTCTGCTGTCTTATTTTAAACAAGATTATTTTCATTAAAAAGTCAAAGCAGCTGTTTTCTAGCCCATCTTACAGATGAAAAATATTTCTAAAAATCTAGTCCACACACATTGCTCTCATGTCTGAGACTGCTTGTGAAACTATCAGGGTAGGCAGACTTGTTTTCCCAATAACTTTCATGGGGAAATATAATGACAGAATGACCCTAGGTCAGGGTCACACATTCGTCCCAGCCATTTGTGTTGTGGTTTTTTTTGGCCAGAAGACACCATTTCACAAAATGTTCTACTAACTTTAGAAACTGGGAAGGAAAAACATCAGCTAAGGGATTCAAGTCTCACTTGACTATGCACCTGTAAAATTTCAGTTCAGTGTCTGAGGTCAATTTTCTTAATATTTGAGTCAAGAAATACTGCCCAGAATTTCAGATAGGATGCACATTAAACAGATTGTTTTAATATCCATCATAATGAAAATAATCACTAAACCACAAATTCATTCCATGTTAAGGTCTGATAGAAACACGGAAATCAATTATTGAAATTGAATAGCAATACTTATGAAAATAGAAAATGTTTGTCAGGAACTTTCTACACAAGATCCAAACATTAGATCCACTTTGTAGAGGTGGGGAGAAGGAGGAATGGGATGCAAACATTCAGCAATTTATAAATCTCTAACCCCTCACCCCCAATGAAGTGTGTCAGTACTAGACCAGTGAACTACCGCCGAAAAATCAGTTTGGATCCAGGTCAAGAACTGCTATGAAAACAACTGACTCAGTTTCTGAGGGAGGGGGAAAATTCTTAAGCTACATTTGATAAGTCTTCCTGCAACGAACACTAGCAGCTTCACCAAAGTACTCCAGAGAGAGCATATCAAGGCCACCTCAGTCAGAGAAAAGATTACTCCCCAGGATGGACTCCAGAAATCCTTGCAAGGTCAAACTTCCTGGAGAAATTCCCAAACAGAGATTTTTAAGATGTTTCTGAAAAAGGGGGTACGTTATGGTATTACGTTTCCTAGATTATTTTTAAGCCTTTGGATGACAGTTTATTCACTCTATCTAGCATTGAATATGTAGGTAAGAGGAGGAAAATGATTTCCTTTGTGGCAATGGCATCCAAATAGTTATTTGTATAAGCAGCCTGCAGCATGATAAGAGTGGTAACATATCATATGAAAGCAAACAAACTTGACAAAAGTGGAAAAAATTCATTCCTGGTTTCTTCAGCTTCAGGTGATACAGAAGCTAACTAGTGTTCATCTTCAGCATCCCAGAAGTCACCATCAACATTCATAGCTTGAAACAACCTGTGAGACAGGCCAGAATTTGTTAGGAAACAGTGAACAACAACTTGAATTTGAAACTATGATTTGAACTTTTCAGCTTCTTGAACAGTGCTTGTGCAATGGTGTCCTGGTCCACAACCAGGGCTCATAGGCACTATGGTAATACAAACATAGCACAATGATAATTAGGCCTTTAAAGATCCTTGAGAGTATTATTTTTAATTGTTTATTATGGCAGGGCCTAGGACCAAACTGAAGTAGAGAGCCCATTGTGCTAGACACTGTCCATAGTAGTAAAGAGTACCTTTTGCCGAGAGTTTACAATCAAAGCAGAAAAGGACAGGTGAGCGAGATGTCACACAAGCAAAGTGAAAATATGATGCTGCAAACATATCAAATTAGTTCAATGATTAAATTATTTTTGGGGTGTTGGTTCAAGTTCGGAGAGAATATGATAAATGGAAAGAAAAGGGAAGGGAGATAGAATGTTGAAGGGAAGGTGGGTAAGGAAGGGCAGTTGTGGAGTGAAACCAAAGAGAAGAGGAAACAAGGCTGGAGAAACAGCCAGTCATTGCAATTCAGAAAGTCCAGTTACGGATGGATCCTTGCCCCATTTTACAGTAGGCAAATTGAGGCACAGAGAGTACCTGAATTTTACTACTGACTTTCGTTTATTCGAGGATATGGAACAGATCTTAGAAGTGCTGACTCCTATTCCCTGCCATGGACGCATCAATAAAATGTCTAATATAAAAGACTCAAGTTCCTGGTGCTAATCTTTAAAGCCTTCAATAGCTGGGAGCCTGGCTACAACTCAAGACATTGGTTTCCTTTGCCAAAACCTATTAGAATCAAAGATTTTGTTAAGGCTGATGAAACCCAGAGCTAAATTTTCAAGTCGTCATGCCTTCTACAGATAACCCCCTGTTGCTAGGAAATTCCTACCACCAGAGTTTAGGAAGACTCCAAGTCTGTTGCCTTCACAGCAGAATGCACAACATGGCCTATTTGCAAAGCATTGACTTTGAAAATGACTTCACAATGACCAGCAACATTTTCTCTGGAAATAAAAGTATCTGAACACATCCACTAAAGAAAGCAGTATCAGCAATGGAGAGGTGAAAAATACTGTCTTAGTATTAATTTGATATGACACCTATGTAGGACAGTAATGGGCACATTACACATGCACAGAAAGATTTGAGAATGGAATATATTTTCAAAGATTCTTTGATTCTGCTTGATTAGCAAAATATTCTAAGGCACAAAATACAAGTCAGCAAATTACGTTTTCACACTATTATACTTCTCTCATCCAATTCTCTTTCCATCTACCCAAGTAGCAATAATCTCTATTCTTCCACACAATCCCTATGTTAACTTCCAGTTCTGCAGCTCCTAAAATTTACAGCAGCTTTTTTATCTAAGTATTTATATCAGACTGAGCACCTATTCATGAAAATGAACAGTTCTAATAGAAAAAAAATCTCTCAAAAGAGATATTCCAAATCCCATCTGACAATTTTTTTTATCTTTACCCACACCTCAAATTTTCTCATTTTTATTTTAACTTTGTAATTAACTATATAATTATGGGAGAGCTTGCAAGAAAATGCTACATATATGGAGTTTCTATTGTATCTGAGGACATATATTGTGAATACATACCGGTTAAAGCAGGGGGAGGATGGGTCATTGAAGTGCCTGTATGGGTTCATCCTAGACAGAGAACCCATACAAAGCCAGCAGAAGTACTGCCTGCAGCCAGTGCATGTCATCTTGTTACAACCATCTAGTTTCTGATGGAAGAAGAAACAGGGAATAGCAGTAAGAATTGACTATATCTCATGTCACTTCTAAATCTTCAAACCTACCTTTGTGCAATATCAGCAGTGTATTTTCAGAAATGGAACATCTGTACAGTATTACACTACACGTCACACCATCTTTGACAGACTATAAAGATTTCATAGACTATTTACCCACTGTATGAATAAATAATTTTATTCAAAAAAATAATTTTTCATCACCAGCTATCACATTCAACAACAAGGTCACCTTCAGGAATTACTATCCAGGAGTCCTGGATCTTCAGATCATCAGTACAGATCTCTACCTACTTGAACGATGGAAATAATTTATTCTCCATGTGGAATAGCTATTTATGTGGGTTACTCAAGACAATTCTGCCAGACGGTTACGCAGCTATTTGTTAGAAAGCAGTAGAATACTAGATTCCAGTAGAAATAGATTCCTGAGATCTATTTCTGACTCTGGAAAGAAAGTGGCACGTACTGGTTAGACAGGATAATCTTTTGGGATATTTAGCCAGAAAGTCAGTGTTGCAAAGTGGCAAAAACTTGATTCTGCTGTATTACAGACTTCTGTTTTCTTCCCAATTCTCTTTGACATGACTTTGGACAATCTGTTTATTTATTTGCCCAATGAGACGTGAATATTTGATTGCCTTCTAGGGTTGAGATATAAAAGTAAAAGTCTGAAATGGATGGAAATACTAACAGCAATCAGTATGTGAGATTTGAAATTATATTTTTTTGGCTCCCAGCTCAATACCTCTTTGCCTAGTTTGCAGAATATTTGGTGACAGGAGTATCTCCCTGATGTTTGTAGAACACCGCCTGCCTTTGTGATTCAACCAGAATGCAAAAGGGACTAGGGATGTAAGCGAGTAATTGACTAATCGCTTCCCCCTGCCCTTGCTGCCTCTATCATAAAGAGGCAGCGGGGGAGGGAGAGGAGGAGGAGTCCTGAAGGAAACTGACTTAAAAGCTGGTTCCCGCCAGCTCCGTGGGAAGGGACAGGGATGTAGCGGCAGTGTTCCACCTTGAAATGTACAAGAATCCCCACTGGGGTTCCTTGTACATTTCAAAGTAGGAGAGAGCCTGTGGGGGACCACTGGCTCTGGGCTCCACGTGGCATTTCAAAGCAGAAGTGCTGCCTGTACATTTCAAAGGCAGAATGTCACCTGGCACTTCTGCCTTTGAAATGTAGCAACGGCCAGGAAGGCTCTTGCTACATTTCGAAGTAGAAGTGTCCTTATTGACTAATTGAATAGTGGATGGAAATTCCATCGACTATTCAATTAGTTGATTAATCTAATTTTAACATCCCTAGGAGGGACCATAAAATCTAATGTCCTTGTGAGGTCTATTGTGAGTCCTCACTTCAACCTGGTTTCAGAAGATGTGTAACCAAAGGAGGAGCTTCTTCTTATTATAATGTCAGCTGCTTTTCCTGGCTGCAGAAGTCAGAACAAGCTCTACAACAAGTGTAAGTCTCCAATATAGGTAAATGTTATTCCCTGTTTGTGAACTAATAGCCTTTGGCACAGAAGTCTTATTTGGCTGAATTACTAAACACACTGGAAATTCACCTTTTCCTGAACTGTTTCCTGACAATTACCTGGCATCTGGAGAACACTGATAAATACCTTTAAAAACTGAAAATACATACTTTTTATTAAATATAATACTCAAAAATAAAACTAGAGTAGCCAGAGCCAGCAGCAGGGATGAGATAAGTAGCATCATCTGAACCCTTTACAAATAAAATTCCTAATTCCCTAGCACTGTTCTCTATAGTCAATCACATTAGCAACATAGAACAGTTACAATTAAGAACAAATTACAATTCTCCAAAGTTAGCCCAATAAACTTACTTCTATAGGAGTGCCACAACAAGGGCAGGCCTTTGAGTTCTTTTCTAGCCATTCTTTGCTTTCCATCTCCTCAAGGGCTTTCTGAATCACTCTTTTGCCATAGCGCTGCTCCAAAAATATTTTTGTGTCCCCATCTGCTTCTAGGTACTCATTACGCAAATCCATTAGCTTTTCTAAAGAGTGAAATAAAGACACCAAAATGCACATTAGCCTTACATACCTCACTGCATATGAAGTCACACTATTAGCTAGGACAATGAGTCAAACTAATTGTAAACAAAATCCAGGAGATTCCAAATATTGCAAGGGTCAAGAGGATTCTAATAACCCTGATAAGAGATTTAGGTAGCAACAGCCATCCAGAAGTTCCACCCAGTGGCTGACCCTAGCTAGTATAATCTACCACCCCGCAGTTGTCGAAACTCCAGGACAAACAAAAGAGAACACACAAGGAACAAGTACTTTATACTTCTTGTCATCCTACCTCAAAATGGTTAAGTGGAAATAAAAGGTTTTCAGTTATTTGCAACCAACACAATTACAGGCATGGGAAAAAAAATTCCTATGATATAAGACTGAAAATACGAGGGATAATTAGTTTAGAGAGGAGATAATTAGTTAAGAGTGAGTGAGTGTACATGACATACCGAATAAACATTAGAAAAAAGATAAGATTAGATACCTGTGAGTCTCTTGTAATAAGTACAAGAGGACTGTTAATAAAATTGAAATAGGCAGCAAATTAAAAATTGTTACAAAGATATTTTTTACTAGCTCCATAAATTTAGTGGAGCTCTGTCACAAGATATCAAGGTCAAATGCTCAAGATTCAAAACAGGAAGGAACTTTCATATAGATAACAGCCTGAGTTACATTAGTATGGATTTTAAAGTGTCTGAAATATAAACCCTCTTGCTTCATGGCATATGGGTAAATGCTTCATGTTATTCCATAAGTGTCCACTTCATGGTTTCTTGTACCAACCCTCAAGCATTTGCTACCAGCCACTGTGGGAGACAGAAATGTACCCCATGTGACATACTTTCCTCCAAGTAATCAAAAATCATCATTTTGTTTTTAAAAAACCTTAAGATATACAAACAGGCATCATGAGGAACTGTAGTGCCACAACCACTGTGCTTAATTATATCAATTGCTCATCTAACTCGCTGAGGTATGTTCAGACTTTCAACTAGCAATGTAAAATCCCGTTTAATTGGTAAACCAGTTAAATGTGAGGTTTAATCAGCTAACCGATTAAAGGACATGGGCAGCACTCCTGCCCTACTGGACTGGAGTGGCTCCTCTACATGCTGAGGCTGGACTGGAGCGCCCCTCTTCCACAGGCAGGGGCTGCTCCAGCATGGCCTTGTCTGCAGAGGGCTTCTACTTGCAATGAGCCCAGGCTCAGCTGTGGACAGGGGCTGCTCTGAATAGTCCCCTACAGGCCCACCATGAGGCTGGAGCAGCCCTCTGTCCGCGGCAGACGGGCTGCT